ATCCATCAAGGAAGGTAAAGATATGTACACCACACTAATGAATGTCAAAATACAGCAGAACAAAAATCGAAATCAGATGATAGATTTGGTGCAATTAATTTGAACCAAATATATCAATTACCCTTCCAAACCACAAAAGAAACAAAAAAACAATGGTTTCAATGTTAAATCCTGAACCGGATTATTACCACTAATTCATACTTAAAAACAATCGGTATTAAAGACTCTGATACTTGTTCACTCTGTAGAGCACACCCTGAAAAAATAGAACATTTATTTTGGAATTGCATCAACACCCAACACTTATGGGAAAATCTTAGAAGATAGATTCATAATAAACTTGGTAAAAATATTGACCTTAATATAAGTACAATTCTATTTGGGGTCACAGGAGAAACTAATGAAACAAAACCAACTAACATCATCATTACATACACTAAATACTTCATATTATGTAATTCAAAGAAAACAGGAAATCTCTCAATAATAGGACTGAAAGAATAACTCAAACATTTACATACGAAATGACCTTGTCACAAAAAAAAACATGCAAATCCAAAACTTCAACAAGACATGGAATGAATGGAAAAACCCTTTTTACTTAAGGCCGAAAAGAAAATAATTATTTGAAAACCAAAGCCAAGTGAATGAACCTCAAACAGTTGGTCACCCATATACCCTTATGAATTACACTTATTAAATATTGTTGTCTTTTTATATGTATGTGTAGCCCTTTATACACATAAATATATACAATATACATATAGATGATTAAGTGATAACTTGCTAATATACATGTGTTGTATATACCCAAAAAGGGCATAATGTACTCTGTTGAAATGTGTCAACTCCTAAAACATTGATCTCCCAAGACTGTGAGTAGTTACATGTATGTATTTGTTGAGTATAGTACATGTCTATATGTATATGTGAATATGGGGCAAAGAAGTAATTTCAACAGTGTGGACAAGTTTAGGTTGTCAAATTTTCGGAGAGATCCGCTCCTTTTTCAAGACACAGTGAAACAGAACAGTTACATGTACATATACATCATATTACAAGAAGATAGAATTGATATACTATAATTGAAAATATAGCTATTATATAAAACCAATAGTCCCCTCGGCTAAAGACAGCCGAAGGCAGCAATTAAGCTGAGAGCATCGTGGACAAGGAACGCTGATGTAGAGGACCGATTCTTGCGCAAGATGCACTATCATATAAAGTGAGTCAACGAGAGATATCAAAAACGTGGAACATGTGCATGGGGAAATCTAGCCCGGTAAATGTGAAAAATCTCCAATTTGCTACGGAATGTCTCATTAGTCGCCTCTCAATACTGCGATGGATCTAACAGTCACAGCAGGGGGTCCACACTTAGTCGCCTCTTTTGGTTTGCAGGAATAATACATGTGCCTCTTTTTTTGCAGGAATTATGCAAGTAATTATCAAATAAGTGAGTGCAGGAGGAATAAGTAGATGAAATGGCTAAGATACTGTATAAATCTGCAAAATTAATCTGACAACGGCTGTTGGTCACACACACTGACATGAAGCAGCAGGCAGGCGAGATAGCAGACCAACTGTGCAGTAATGCATCATTAGGTCAAAAGCCCCCTGGAAGGAAAACGAGTGGATGGCAAACGCCTATCGTTCGTTCATACCTCGAGGGTAGCGGGTTTGTAGATTGGTGATCCAAAACCGTTCTCTCGTACGTCGTCTCGTTTCATCCCATGTAGGGCAATGATCTATGGCAACAACCTGCATGTCTTTCCAACTATGGCTAGGCATATTAAAATGCCTTGCGACAGGGAAGTCTGGTTTGTTCTGCTTGATGGAGCAGCGGTGGTTGTTGATCCTGACATTGAGCTGGGTGCAGGTCTCTCCCACGTACTGTAAATTGCATTTATTGCAGGTAATAAGGTACACCGCATTTACTGATGTGCATGTCAGCGTTTGTAGTATGTGATACACTTTGCCGTTGATTGTACATCGAAATGTATCTGTGGATCTTTCGATCCATGTGCGACATGTGTGTGAAAGTGACGACTTGTTTCTAAAATATAAGTTTGAAGTGCGCTCCGGGCGCGGGTCGCATATTTCCCGCATATTATAGAGGGCCGGAGTTCTGACGTTAATCGACGACAGACCGATATGAAAAAAGTCGATAAAACGTCAGAATAATTCGGACTATTTGCACACCTTCTTGTTACAGGTATTGAAAGAGCCTTTCGCCGCAGCAGGGTTAGGTGTAGGTAGCTTGCTGCTTACCACAAGATCTCTAATGTGTTTAGGTCTACGATAATCTGCCTAAGTTTCGCTGAAGATTCGTATTTGTATATGTGAATATGTATATTATACAAATTGCATACTGTATAACTATAACATATATATCACAAATTCAAATTGTGTACTGTTCAAGTAGCATGTATCAAAATGCCAAGTTTACTTTATAAGAATAATGTATCACAATTCAAAATAGCATACTGTATAAGTATAACATCTCACAATTCAAAATCGTATAATTTATAACTATAACATATCACCAGGCCAAATTGTTTACTGTATTCGTATAACTTATCACAATGCAAAATAATATACTGTATAAGAATAATATATCTCAATTTTAAAATGTATAGTGTATACCTTTCATGACTAATGTGCGTACAGCATACGAACGTATCTGCATGTGTGTGTATGTACGTGGGTATGTATGTATATATGTGCGTGCATGTGGAGATGTGTATGTGCGTATGCATGTTAACTATGTATGTGTGCGGGCATACATGTATGTATGTATGTATTTATACATGTATGTTATACATGTATGACAAGTATGAGTATATTACGATAAAATGTATATATATGTATATGAAAATATAGAAAAGCCATAATCAAATTAGGAATCAAAAATGAGGAAACATGTATACACCTGTCACTCCCTGTGTAATGTTTTATAAAAGCTTAACGGCCCATCAACACAGGATATGTCATAAGGTCAAACAAATGGTTGACAAAAACAATTGCAAAATAAAAACATCAAACTCACTTAAAGGGACAATTTAGTGAATTAATATTTTTTGTTATAATCTTCATTTTTGTAAAATTCTTCATGGTGATATAGTTTGATACTCCTTTTAAACAATTCATGTCGAGATATTGACAAGAGACAATGTTTTGTTTTGGTGTGTTAAATCAGTAATGAAGAAATCCTTAACTATACAACCAAACATTTTAGCGGCAGCTGTCGGTGAATTTCTAGCTAACATCAATGTTTTTTCCAGCCGAGGAGAGAAGATAAATTCTCTCTTTATTTACCTAGCTTGTTTAGGATACAGGTACGAGGATTTATTCTGAATCAAAACATCTTCCAAAAAACATCACAATCATCGTTATGAACGAGTAATCTCCTTAAACGTTTAACCCATTCGATATCTTACTTTTTTCTCCCTGTGGTACCTCTCAATGCGTGCATACTCTAATTAAACCTGAATGTTTTCGTTCAAATCCAACTGTAAACAGAAATATCTGATTACTACGATGGCCGACAAGAGCCTGACAAAAAGATATGAACCTTTATATCTTTTTGTACCACGGTACACTTTGATATGGTACACAAAGATGTGAAAATTCAAATCTTTGTGTACCATGTAAAAGTGTACCATGGTACACAAATATATGAAAATTCGAATCTTTGTGAACCATGTAAAAGTGTACCATGGTACATAAAGATTATAAAGAACTTTACAAAAACACTCTTTACTTTCATATGTATATGTACCAACAGCCGATATCAGCCGGCAAAAAGATATGAAAGTTTCTCTCCTTTTAGTACCGCGTTACACTTTTATCATTTCTTTTTGTACCACCTATGGTACAAATAGATATGAAAAAAGTGTACCATGAAATCACGCGTTACACTTTTTTCATATCTTTCTGTACCGTGGTACACTTTTGCGCGGTACAAATAGATATGAAAGCTTCTCTCCTTTTAGTACCGCGTTACACTTTTTTCATTTCTTTTTGTACCACCTACGGTACAAAAAGATATGAAAAAAGTGTACCACCAGAGCATCGGAATGTTGTTATCTGACACTATGACCAGAACTGACCCCGAATAGTGAAGCCCTAATTACAACGTCGAAACAAGTCGTGAAGTTCATTAATCACTTCTGATGAAAAACAGAGTTAGTTGCAATTGTGTAAGTATAGGGGCCTTGACAGGGTCTCCAAAAGGGATAAAGGACATCTGAATATTTTTGTCATTTCCCTTGTTTTGAAAGATGTCCAGATTAAAAACGAATCGTACAACTAGCTCATCGTATTTCCATCCCCTCCCCCCAATTTTTTTTTTAGAAAAAGGTAGACTATCCTTCGAAGTAATTAAATTGATTGTCCCCTTGTCCCCTACGGACCCCGTCGGCGTTTTTAACTGGTTTGGAGTTTCTTTCATTTGAGAAGTTGAAGACGCCGACGGTAGAATACATTAGAAATGTATTAGAATAATAATCCATAATGACTTCCTTTTTAAAATAAAACATTTATAAAATTCGGTAAAGGATATTTATTGAATAGTTGATTTCAATTTAAATGAGTAAGTAATAGTTTGGAAGCTCATTTGGTGTAATAAAAATAACAGACATTCCGTGCGATAACATTTCATTGTATGTGATGACAGCCTTATCGGGGTGTAATTTGTCATACTTGGTAACCTTTTTGTCTGATGGTTTCACATGTTTCTGTACCATGGCTGTTTTCGGCCGTTATTTTGGTACAGAAAGATACAAAAGCAACGGGTTGATTTTATTTCTGCTTTCATATCTTTGTGTACCATGGTACACTTTTACATGGTACACAAAGATTTGAATTTTAATATCTTTGTGTACCATATAAAAGTGTACCATGGTACAAAAAGATATGAAAATTCACATCTTTTTGCCAGGCTCTTGTCGGCCATCGTAGATTACGGGTAAATATCATGATACCTTTATTTCCTGCTTGCTGTGTATTATGTAAATTCAAAGCGACAAGAATGTGTTATGTGTGACCTCAAACTCTCAAATGACACTGTGTTGTCGGTCGACAGTGTGGTACTGTTCATGTTTATTCTCACTGAAAGGCCCGGATATTGCATTATTTCGGTCTAGGCTTTTTTTAACACCGGCTGTCCCGAAAGATGACGCTGATCACACTGGGCGTTAGTTTCAGACTTTGTCATTAATCAGCTACGTTAAGTTTCGTTAATATATGTATCTTTTTCAGAATCGGTTCGATTTTCAGGTTGTCATTTGACTAAAAAGCCTCTTTAAAGGTAGGAGATGCAAGTCAATTTGAGTATTGAAAGTGGCTATGGTGACTCATATTTTATGGGGGAACGACTAACAGCTTTCAGATAGCCTAACAGTTTGTAGCGGCGGTTTTTTTTCGTACCTGAAGCAAATATGAACACATTATTCAAAAGTGATCTTGGTCTGTAATTTTTAATAGAAAATGTCTAGGTTAAAAATTAGCATTGACATCTAACACCTTACCTTTTGCTTTTATATTGTTAATATCTATATATGTATTATCATGGGGAAACTCAGGTTTTAAAACAAGATAAAATGCACAACAAAATCAGACAAAAGTTGAAGAAGTCTGTCATTTAAGTTGTTTTGTAGCTATTAATGACGCGTGTCATCTGACGGTAACATTCCTCTTACAAACGATCCAACCAGGCTGTAGCTTTTAAATAAGTCTTGTCAAGTCCTCAAACACCGAATATTTCGTACCCTTCAGATTTCCTCTGGATTTGATAATCTGTCTCTTTCGTCTCCTCACAAACTTAGCAAAGACGTTCCGTGGCTTTATCTTTGAGAATTGTCCTAGCCTGTGTTCTATATGTTCAAATGATCATTCACAAACATGCATTGCTGCTCTATATAAGTGAGCATACTCTGTAAGGCCCTCTGGGGGTCTTGCAGTTTATTCAACTGTTGCTTCAGTTTCCCTACAGTAAGACCAAATCCCTTGTTTTCCGATTCTTACGCGAAAATTCTCTCTCCATATTAAAAAGGTGTCTTATTCTCGTTACGAATATCCTCTTAGTAACCAGCAAGTTGAGTCCCTGTTGTAATCTTTTCAATGTTGCTAGTTCAATAACATGGTTTTCTAATCCACATTTAGCCGATATACCTGTAGAACTCAGGTCAAGTCGGTCATGATCTTCAAATATTTGAATAACAAATTCTGTCATTCCATTCTGAGTTATGGTACAAGCATCAATAAATGCAAATTAATATGCTTCAACAACAATAGTCTTCCGTCAGGTTTCATTTTGTTCGGAATACTGGTGTTCTAACGTAAACTGAATAAGCTTATTGTGGGTATCCAAGAAGACGATACAAATTAGAGCACGCTTTGTTAGTTTCGTTCAGGACAATATTATTTATTCTATTTTTCCAAGCAAATGCGACGCTTGAAGAGTTTCTACAATATGTGTTGCCGGGGGAAGATCTTTTCGATGATGCAGTTCTTTGAGCAAGGTGGAGGTGATCATTTGCACTAATTTTGTAACCTGCAAAGTTGAAAATGTTCTTGAATGTTTCTAGTGGATGTGTCGCCAAATCCTCATAGAAAACAGTGTACAATCTTCCGGGATATTTTGTTTTCAGTTTTACTGATTCAAGATAGTCATCTGTCATTTTGTTACACAATGACAACGCGCCACCAGGGACAGGTGTCCATTTAAGGTTTGTCCTTGAGTTCATTATAGCTCTTGGATCTCTCAATAGATGGATGATTTTTAAGTGCGATATCGTGTCCAAAAGCGTTGATGCTAGACTGAGACTAAGTCTTGGAACTTTGCTCACTATGGATTTGCGCTTTGAACATTGACTTAGATACTTCTTTGGACAACCATTCCACTTTCCTTGACATTCTGGGAATGACATTTTCCATTTTTGATCATTAAGAGATTCTATGCCTCGAGATTTCAGGTGCTGAAAGGTTCGTAATTGGTCCTGGAAGTGGCTATAGTCACAGTTGTATATTGCCCGAATGACATCGAGTACTTGGCCATCAGTCCGGTTAGACTTCCTGTTGAAAGAACAATGGATTTCATGTAATATGGTTATTCAGTTACATTAATTTTAAACAATTCATCACATCATCATAATCATCATTCATAATTGCATAACAAATAATAGACCAGGATAACTATATGAATGGTAGTGGAAACTTGAAATTCAGTAAAACCTGTATATTATCAGCTCAATGTTCTAATTGCTGACGGTTTGCTTAAGAGCGTTATCTCTGGTTTGGTATAAACATCCTTATGGAGGGATCTTCTAACGCCTATGTTGAGTTTTACTTCTTTTTATATTCTTGTCGATATTTTATTCTATATCATACATTAGTCCGTTAATAAAAGCAACCATTATTCTACAGCGGTTGGCACTTAACCTTTTATTTTATATTGTTCCAGAAACCATTGCATGTAACATTTTAACTACCGATTGACACTGTAGCAAATCATGAAAGACAGCATAAGTAAAGCTCTGCATCATTGTAATTTTTCTCTCTGTGTAAACCAAAAGCACGTGGTCCTAGGATGTACAATAGTTAAAAATAGAAATCCCTAAATATGCAGGGATGATTCGCTCATTAGTTGCCTCCTACTATTTGAAGTGTGATTTTTTTTGTTTCAATTTCTGACCTGCAGTGGTGTTGTAAGCAGGAAAATAATACTCAGCACAGGTTTCAACTTAAAACGTACTCTTACAGAAATATGTATTTTGTTCGCATGATTAAAAACGTGACGTTGTCGATAGATTGAATATTCTCGGCTTATTAGTGAGATGGTCACTTTCGTCTTACTGATACTTACGTGTATTCTTCCTGAACAGCTATCAACATATCAGTGACCAATGGACAATGCTATCACAAGTTTGTCAACAAAAAAAAATATTGTTCTGAATTACACTTATACACATTGAGAGTCATGCAGTGCCATATGTAGGTATTGGATTATCCTATCTCAGTCATTTTGGTCTGACATATTCGGGACAAATACAAAATTCAAATCCACCTATCTATAAGTTATACTCCAAAGAGACCAAAATGGCTTTAATGCGGAGTAAATCAAGTCTACAAACCTGCAGGTTTCATTGTTCATACTGCACTCGTAACCTGGCTTAAAGTACCTAAAATCCCCAAACTTGTGAAGAGGTTCATAGACATAGAAAGTATCATTTCGAAGTGCCAAAAGTTCACCCATCAATGTAGTACCTCCTCTTAGATAGCCTATCACAAGTAAGTCAGATATCTTCCTATTAGAGGCAGACAGTACACCGGGGTCACCAAACCACCTGTAAAGTAAAACCAAAAACAACAAGAGAATATCGATGTGTTAACAAAACCATACTTCAAACTGAAAACCATGAAACTAGGACATTAAAATGCATCCCCTGAAAAAGTGAAGAAGAATAATTAACATGTCTTTCAGAAGGGTAGTTGTCTTTTGCTACATCGACTCCTTCCACCATGTAAATATAGGTCAAATTCAATGTAACACCTTCATGGCGGAAAATGGGGTAGTGTTAACAAAACACAAAGGTACATTATTCAGCATAATCAAGCACTTTGACCTAAATATCACAAAAAATAAGACTATTACACAATGAGATCAGTATGGAGAAATTTTATAATTTGGGTGTCGGTTAACCCCCTCCCTTCATCAGGGAATATTAATTGATTGAGGCAAGCGTTACATAAACTGGTGGTGGGAGATATTTGTCGCAGCTATATACTATAATGTCAGTATTAAGTAAGTGTTTATATATACATATACTGTCTTTTGTCAACTGTTTCATTCTCCTAGTAAGTCGTTTTTTTTTATATATCTATTTCATATTTACCTGTTGGAGATTTGAGTTTTATATTAATCAAAGTACTGAAAGTACTCTAGACACACGCTTTCTTGATTATAACATTTTAGGAAAAACAAACACAATACAGTTAGTTGAGATACAGGTTAAACGCCATTTAAAGTTGCTGAAAATGATGTGAACAAATATTTACTCTTATCTAATGTCTGTGTTGGCAATAGTCTGAAATGTCTTTTCCCTCCGAGGACCTGCCATAAATAAAGAGTTGACTTCCGAATTAATAATTATATGACTGTTGCAATATCTTCTTAGTACCTATTGGTAGAGTGTGAAACATATATTTCCTACAGACCAGCAGCAGTGCACGTGTGTCACAAATGTCTTTAGGTCAACTAAGATTTTGCCATGGGTCATATGTCAGTATACACCTCCTCGTATGAGTATGTTAATAGTAACAGCATGATACTTTAATCAATTTCTATATCCTCCATCCGGGGACCGGTGGGGGACTAATTAACATTGTGTCATAAAACATTAATCTCACTGCAAATAAATATTGTAATACATGAATCAGATCAAACTTCAGTTCTCAATTTTTATGCAAAAAATAGGGTAGGCCTATTTTTCTGATATTCAAAATAGCATTTTCTTACGTACGTAAAATAGGGTTATAGCATGGAATCCATTCTACAATAAGTCAGTCAAGTGTATTGTGTGTGATCATTAAATGTGCTGAGGCAACATTTAATCACAGTCCCAAAAATTTTCCAAGTTTAGGGTCAATTAAGCTTAACCATTGCTTGCTAATTTCACATCATGTGAAATGTACTAGACTTGCCAGGTAAATTTCCATGGACAGTTACATGCTGTGTTATTACTAATAGTATATTATATACAGATTGTCAAGCCTCTTGTGGTTTAATATACTGCTCTGTAAGTTACAGAAGTTTGTTCATGAAACTACACATTGGCGTATTGCATGTATGTGTATTTATACAAGTATTTGATACACAAACAGTTATGCCAGTGGTCTTGGACGGTTAAGACCAGGGTGGGGGTGGGGGTTCTCCACAGCATATACATCTCACAGATTTTTTTTATTGGAAAGTCCCCCATCCTTCACAACTTCCTCATTTAGATATATTTCTTCAAATAGGTTGCAATTTTCAACTTTAACCTATTTGGATTTTAATATTGGTTGTAACCTAAAATAAAGTTCTGATTCCAGGACATGATAATACGAGGCTCGATACCCATAAAGGGGCCATGAACTGTTGCAAAATGCACCAACCAATGAGGCAAGTGACTAGGTGGGGAGGATATGTGAGGGAGCTATGGCCTCAACTAGAAGGGAGGTCTCCTTCAAGGAAACTTTTGAGTTTTTGATGAGAGATGATGTATTTCCAGTGTATGTAAAACAGTAATGTGTGATAAAATGGCTTTGATGGACACTTTTTAATCCATATTGGGCCACAACTGAACAGCATGTATACGATGTCTGGCAATCATGCAGTCTATTTTCTATTTAATGATCACGTGTTAAATATTTATTGCAGATAATAATATCTTCAGTTTCAATCCAGTTGTTTTTGATAATTGCAGCGTCTTTGGATTTATTCACATCTTCCACAGCTTCCTGTGCTGCCTGAAATACAAGAAAGAATACATCATTTAATGTTTTGGTTGTTTTCATTGTTACAAAGTTTATTATTTTATATAATATTTAACAGTCATTTTTATTAGTTATGCTTTTTACATGTTCAACAGTTTTTATAATATTTTCTTTAGAACTGACCAGATTCTTTTCGGACAGGTGTTACCATTCCAGTTTATTTTGCTACGCATGTAATCTTAACCATATAGTGTTGCACAAAATTAAGCTAGATACCTGTCTTGGCTAGCCACCTTGTACTTTCCCAACTTGCATTTTTTAAAGTAAAATGCCAGAGTGGAATGCATCATGAATGTTTGCATGTGTTTCAATTGTAACAAGAAAAAAAACCTGTTTATCCGTCATGCAAGAAAAAAATTCTCGGATTAAAAAAAATAATACTTGTACCCTGTTACTACTACGGACCACTGACTTTACAGGTAAAAACGTTACTATCATGGTTCGCTGACCAATTTAATTGATGCTGGGGAAGTGTCAACAGTTCAACACCGAGTTTATATACATGTTAGAGGGGAGGGGCAGATATAACGCGGGCAGTGTGATACACAGTTACAGAATCATTACTCAAGAAATGAAAATATGAAAATCAGATAAGCTTGCTACCCTCGGAATTAACCCAAAACATAATATATTGACTTCAACATCAAGGTGACAGTGCGTCAGAGACGTGGACTATATATTGGCTTTATACAAGCTTGGGGTGATACATAATATCATTCTGGAGTTTCGTTTATATTGCACACTGTCTATTTCGGAACACATTAGCATGCTATTCACTGATTCAGAGTACGTACCTTGCCACGCAATCTTTACAAAGCATTCAGTTCACACGTCAAGATACTCGATGGTGCAGTCAGCATAGTACCGTAATATGGGTGCCAATCGGCAATCGAAGGGATGAGTGCTCAGGGATTTTAACCCTTCGACAATTCAATAATCTTTTGCCCAACATGTTTCCTGTTAAAAACATATGATGACCTGACCACATGCAACATTTGAAATGTAAATGGCATTTGATTCAATTTGAATATGATTCAAGGTCATTCATTTGAACAAACTTGGTAGCCCTTCATCACAGCATGTTACTGGCTAAATATCATCACCCTAAGCCTCTTGGTTATTCAGAAGAAGTTGTTTAAAGGTTTTTAACATATTTGATCCCTGTGACCTTGAATATAAATCAAGGTCATTCATTTGAACCAACCTTGTAGCCCTTCATTTCAGCATGCTTCTGGCCAAATATCATCACCCTAGGCCCTTTGGTCACTGAGAAGAAGTTGTTTAAAGTAAAAAGTTGACGCCGGAATGACGACGGACGGACGACGCACCATGCCACAAGCTCACTTGGCCCTTCGGGCCAGGTGAGCTAATAATAACAGCACAATGGAAACCGCTTATTATGATATTCTATTTGCCAGAGAAAAATAATATAATAAACGATATATTACCAAAAAACGATTAAGCTGTTTTCGATCGTTTTTAGGTTGTCTGAACCGGGCGTGAGATGCCCTATAATCATCAGAAATATATTAATGTTGAAACCTGAGTAATAATACAAATTGATGAAGTAATAATTGAAATCATCTGTTAATTGTCATTAATATCGGCTTGTTGAACAAATTTTAAAAGATTTCATTTTGTCGTCGTCATGATCAGTATGTAAATGTAACAGTCAATAAGATGAAAGAAGTGATATAAATAGTCATGATATACGTATTTTGCACCGCTAAGTTGCATTACATTTTGGCCCATAAGCGTCATATATTTTGCCGCGCTATGTAAATTACGATCACGTGACAATCACATCCCTCGGAAGTCGTGCGGTGAAATCAAATTGCTTAGAAACAATAACAACTAAAACAACAATCAAATATTCTTTTCAACGAAAATAGTGTATAGTGTAAATAAAACAGTCGTCGTCAGTTGTTTACGACAAAAACGTTTACTTTGGAACGATTTCCGGCACCATGCTGTCAGGACGGCAAGCCCCGATTTTTACACTTTTCAACGTAGACACGGGGAAATAAACTTTTAATGCAATAAAGAACAGGATAAATGATTAAAAACACATGCACGTCTGGAGTAATATTTTCATTGAATCGGCATGATTTTCTCGCATGACGTGTCAAGGCACCCGTTAATATTAATGGAAGGCATGCTCGTTTTCTTATCAGAATTAGTATCAGACAAGAGGCCCATGGGCCTTTAAGGTCACCTGAGTCCTACAGTATTAGTTTTTGTTGTTGAAATATGAAGTGGAGATAATGATTTATTTGAGTAAAAAAAGGTTAAGTAAAACTTTTAAGTTAAGTTTGCCATAACAATGAGTTGATCATTCCTAACAAGTTTCAGTTAAATGGGCCCAGTATAACTTGATTTAAAGTTTGAAATAGTTTTTCAAAATGGTGGCAATATTGGATTTCTGATCGACCCAAAAAGTAACAACACTTTGTCAGGACCATGAGTTGATCATTCTTACCAAGTGTCAGTTAAATTGGCCCAGAAGAACTTGACTTAAAGTTTGAAATAGTTTTTCAAAATGACGGCCGCGACGGCCATATTGGATTTCTGATCGCCCCAAATAATAACAACACTTTGTCAGGACCATGAGTTGATCATTCCTACCAAGTTTCAGTTAAATGGGCCAAGTAATAGGCCATGTTGAACTTGACTTTAAGTTTGAAATAGCTTTTCAAAATGGCGGCCGTGACGGCCATATTGGATTTCTGATCGACCCAAATAATAACAAAACTTTGTCAGGACCATAAGTTGATCATTCCTACCAAGTTTCAGTTAAATGGGCCCAGTA